CCCCCCCCCCCCCGGTGAGGAGAGGGTAGAAGTAGGCTGAAAAAGTATTAGAGTTAGGTCATGATTAGATAAGACGCGACACATCTGCTACTTAATGAAGACATGACCTCCTATCACGGAGATTGAAAATTAAGATACAAAGTTAGTAGAAAGTCGAACGTTATTTAATTTCCTTATCAATATTGTTATTATTTAGATATACAATCCCAACAAATTCTTCCCAACTACTCATCAAGAGACTGTTAATGCCCCAGCAGAAATGTAAAAAGAAAAATGATGTGTTTGAATCAACAATTAATTAGATATGCTTTTGAACAGGGGAATTAAAGAGGGATTTTTAATTAAAGATCCATTTTGATTATTGGGTCGGGTCTTTTGATATTGTATTATTATCTGGGGTCCACGTCTATAATATAAAAATCACTCTATTTTATAACGTTAGTTATTTATAAAATAACTAAAAGAACCTTACTTGAGTTATCGTCTGAGAAATTTACTCACTTTTCTAGTATCTCTGGATTATTATTATCTAGAGTGAAGTATATATGGTTTTTGATTAGTTAATCAATTTGCAAATAGATTTATTAAACATGTTACTATATTTGTGAAACCTAATGTCCTCTTTAAAATTCGACGATTGTCTTACCGATGCAAACAAGTCTTTTTATAAAGGTAGACCCAATTAGGCCCATTAAAAGCAGTACGATCGAAATTGTTGGGATCAACAACATTCGTGTTTAGTGTGTCAGATTAGGATTGACCCATAGAGATGGCAATGGGGCGGGTGGATGCAGAGTAGTTTGTTATGCGGGGCGAATTAAAAAATTTGCGGGTTAAGCTCAACCCACCCCTCCCCATTACCATCCCTATTGACCCAGCCCACTAAACACTTACTCATGCCAACTAGTAAAGAGTCATTTGTTGGTTTAATTCATAATCAAATTTCTCTAGCGAAATTAAACATACATTTTTATTGATTCTACTTCCCAATTGAATTTAACCCATTTTTGAGCAAATATAACTATGTTAAGTAAATAAAGTGTATTTTCCCTAACAATGTTAGTCATACAATTTAACATGACATTAGAATGAATAGAATTATTGCATTCGAGGCTCATTACAACCTTTATAAAATAAATCTCGTATTTAGCTTATGAAAAATAATTAGACTACCTCATGAAAAGACATATTCTAAATACAATCAATAAATTAAGTAAACAAAATTAAAATCTTTCTAACAACTTAAACTTCTAGAATATGAGATAACTATACGCTTTAACCATAATATTAAACTTTTATATAGATGATATAGTTATATATAGATTTCATTAGTATTAAGATTAAAATTAAAAATGTACCGTATTCCGTGGACAATTATATTTTATTATATGATAATTTGTACAAAATTTCCAAAAAAAAAATCAAAGGATTTAATTTCAAAACATATATAATAAATGACAAATTTATTTAATTGGATAATTTCAAAATATATATTCTAAGGTGCATGTCACCTCATGTGGGGCTAGTCTATCCAATTGTCCTTTGGAAAGTGGAAAGTGAAAGTCTTGTTTGGGTGGTGCAAAAAGACATGGAAATTATCCAATTAAGTGATGCCATGTCAGCAAACCCCGCGAGTAGTCAAACAAATAAGATGTTGTTGACGAAAGAGTCAAAAGCTTGTATTTGCGATAATTCAAAAGCTATGCAAGATTCGTTTAACTTCGTTGGCTTGTTAACTTGTTTGTACTATTGTTCGCTTGCTAGATCTGTTTTTCTGAGTAGCTTGTTGTTGACGAAAGGGTCAAGAGGTTGTATTTGTGATAATCCAAAACTTGTGCAAGAATCATTTAATTTCACTTGCATTGCCGCGTGTTAATATTATTCGTTTGCTGAATCTGATTTTTGACTAGCTTATTTTTTACCAAAAAGTTGTGTTTGCAATCGTAATCTAAAAATTGTATAAGATTCATTTAACTTCACCCATGTCGTGTATTAACTTACTTGTACTATTGTTGCTTGCTCGACCTACTTTTCTGAGTAGCTTATTGTTGACGAAAAGGTTTAAAGGTTATGTATGCGGTAATTCCAAAGTTGTGCAAGATTCACTTAACTAATTCATTCACGTCGCATGATAACTTGCTTGTACTATCACTCGATTGTTCGATCTATTTTCTGGCTAGCTTTTTTATGGCAAACTCTACTTACTCTAATCTAGCTATTTGTTTTGTAATCTTCTTGAAAGTCTTTGGGTCTGTTTGGAAAGTCACTTGGTAATTGGAATTGGTGTAATTACTAAGGTAGTAATTACCAGCCTAGTAATTGCACTGACCTGTTTGGTTGCCACACTGTAATTACACATGTCCTGTTTGAATGCCACAGTGTAATTACACATGTTCTGTTTGGGTGCACAATTGCAATTATAAAATTATAATAAAATTTTAAAATAAAAATTAATTATTTAAAATTTATACTAGACAAATAAGAAACTTTATAAATGACATTAAATTAAATATTTAAGATATATATTCTTTTTTGAAAATATATTAATTAATAAACATATTTTCTGTAACTAATATTATGAAAAAATAATTGATTTATATTTTGTCAAATTAATATATTTCAATTGAATTGATCGTAACAACTAAAAGTATGAAGTTTCTACGAATATCGTGAAATGCATGTTTGATAAAAAGAATAATAGATAAATAAAATGTCATAAATTATTAAATGTTTGACAAAAATATAATCTATCAAGTCTAATTAAAAAATGACGTGCAATGTAAATTCAATATTACTAAAACAAATGAAACTGAAAATATAACATAAGTTATAAATTCAAAACAAAAAATTTAACATAATACTCTTATAACAAATTTCAACATAGCAATAAATCTGATTTGTTTTTATTTTTTCTTAATAAAGAAAACGTAAGTCTATAACTTACTTAACAATAAATTCTATTTTAATTTAAAAATTAGAATACTAATAAAATTATGATAGTGAGAAAACAAGCATGGCATAAAGAAATAGATAATACGAGAAAATTACATAGAATCACGTAAAGTAAAGTTGAGAACAAAAAGAAAATAAAATATAATAATAAAAAATAAAAAATAAACTTTTACAAATTTTTAGAATAATTAAAAAAAACTTAAAATAATAGAAGTAAAAAAATTAAAAGTAATCAGGTGGTAATTACACCATGTAATTACCAGCAATTCACAGTCTCTGCCTGTGAATTGTAGAGTGTAATTACTCCCTAGCATTTACACCAATTATCTGCTGACCAAGTAATTACTTGTCCTTCCAAACAGGACAAGACAGTGTAATTACACCAAATCCAATTACCAAAGTGTCCTTCCAAACAGGCCCTTTGTTTCCTTAATGATTGAAGTAATTGCTAATTAGAGTATTAAGTCTAATAGTGGAAATTTTTACTTTTTGACTCAAAAAGTATTTAATTTGATACATGCACCAAGCTGAATGCTGTCATTATCTCTTCGCCAGGGCAACTAATAATTAATTAAGCTCTTATCTATCCCTTTTTTTTTTTAACATTGCGGTATTCAGATCAATTTTGCCCATCTCAATTAATTTTACAAGACACTTATCATTATTAGATAATTTTGTCCATCAAAATTAAGACATATAATTATTTTTTTACCTAATATTT